AAAAAATCTTGGTCTTCTCTCAGGGTAGCAAAAAATGCCAAAGCTGGATCAGTTATTTGGCAAGAATAATTTCCAAGCCATCACGCAATTAGTAAATCTTCAGTAAATATAAGTTGCAGGGGAGAGTTATCTTCGTATTCATTGCTGGGAAGATGTTATTTCAGTGTTTCCAAAGAAATAAAAAAGCTAAATAACATCTGAACAGACATATATATAATCATATAGCGTATGCTGGATCACCAAAATCTCTATTCCTGTAAATTAGGAAAGATATAAAGAGTCTCTTGGAGATGCTCGTATGAACCTAAACTCGACTCAAAATCTAAAATGAGCATCAATCAATCAGAGATCTATCAAAAATAGGAGCGCTGCAACTGCAAATCAATACCAGTTAGAGCACTGCAATGCTTATCCTGAGGTGTCGGTGACAAAATCTAAAAACAAAAACAGGAGGAAAACAAAAGATGTTAGTATATGTATGGCTACCTCGCTCATGCATTTGCACTGGAATATTGATGAAAGGATTATTCAATAGTTTTGTGGAGAAGGCACCTACTCCATCGCTACAAACCTTCAAACCGCACACGCAGACAAGGAGAAAATCAGATCTTAACTTGTTAGATCGAGACCACTTGGACACCCAGGCCCTAACGAACCGGCAGATCATATCGTGAGGAAAAGAGCAAGGGAGGGCCGCCGCACCTTCTGCTGGAGAATCGAGGAGAGTGGCCCATTGGCGAATGGCGACACAGCGTCGGTTATGGAGGCAAGGAACCCATCGCGGCATATTTTCTGGTGGCTCTCCGTGCAGTGTCCATCATCTCGCCACCAGCGGCGTCGTGACAGGACCGGACTCCGGATCAGGCGTCGGCCTCGCTGCCTCGGTGGGGTAGGGGCGGGGTGGCTGCGGCAACCGGACGGCTTCACGGCGTCGTGTTGCACGAGGGAGGGCGCGGAAGCACATTTGTACGGCAGGAATGCGTAAGACGTAAAATGTAAAATTAGGAGGTGGCCCACCGGTAGATTGATATGGAGCGTTAGATTTAAAGACTTAAGTAGATCTAAGGGATAAAAATTAAGGTGGGTAGGAATTTTCAGCTAACATGTATTTTTCAATTCCTTCGCTACGTTATATTATAGATAGATAGATATAGATAAATAGTTGTTCCTGCTCTGCATGAGTTCTGTACTATTATTACTGTAATTAGATCATATTGTTAGCAATAAAATCTTTTAGAATTATATTGAATGATCCTAAATAACCTTATACTAGTAATAAAGTCCAATATAATTCTAATAGTAGACAACGATTCATCATTCAGCTTCAGCCACAAAATATGTAGCAAAGAATATAGTCATACTAAATTTATATCTTCATTAGTTTTGAGTCCTTATATACAATTATTACAAATAAATATAGTTTTAGCTACCTATAACTTGGCAACCTATAGGCAAAAGGATGCAAAATGCATTTATCATGATATGACTGCACAATAATTGATTGTTTAGTTCGTTGAAAAAATGATTCTACCCTAAATAATTGAGGTAATATTTTGTATTTGTATTTTTTTTTTCTGGTTTACTTGATAGTACTCCTCCCTCCATTTTGAAATGTGTATGGTATATTAGGATTTAAAAGGCCAAACACTGAAAACTTTGACCATCTATCAATTATTCAAAATATATGTTCGTTTAGTGTACATAAGGTACATAAATAGATTCTTATGTCACATGTACTTAAATAAGACATTGGTTTTGTAGTAATTGATGACATTGTGATATGAACTTCTGGCCAAGGTATAGTCAATGATATGTAATCCAATCGTTATAACCTTGCACCAATCGTTTCAACCATTTGATATCGTCTTGCAAGGCAATGAATGAACACAAACTTTTAGGATATGTAATCCAGTTTTCCTGTCCAAGCACCCTAAAAAGCCAGATCAAAAGTTACGAAACTGGAAAAAAAAAATTTGAAGTATAATCGTCCCAACATGCAGAGTAAAGGATTGGGTCCAAGTTTCCTATGGTGGTCTGTTCTAAATTGAAGCCCAGTACGGTTCCATCAAGCTGATAGTAACGGGAACATATTTGTTTCGGCCTGCAAATCTTATGGTTGGGCTATGGCTTATATAGGTAAAGTGCTACCCAAAATTAGGAAGCAAAAAGTCTACTTTCCTCCCTCAACTATCACAAAAGTCAATTTGTCCTCCCTGAACTAGAAAATCGAACATAACTTCTCCCCCATCTTTTCAAACCGGACATATGACCTCTCTGGCTGTTTCTCTAAGTGGTTTTTCTTTTCTTTCTTTTGTATTTATTTTGGCTGAATCTCTGAAAAATCATAGTAAATTATAGAAAAAACATAAAATAAAAAATCCAGTTTAGTTAGATTCCACATGAGTAGATCTACACAGTAAACATATGATATGGTATGTTTTAGTACAAAATTTTTGTTCTATCTTTAGATCTATGCTTTTATGTGATTAACTCATAACTGCAAATTTTGTGGTCCTATTATGGTGAAATTTTTATGGTAGACTAATCATTGTATGCTTCAGAGGTAGTAAAAATTTCATGCTCATTAGATCATGTATGACTGAGTTATAGACTTATTCAGATTTATGCTTATTAAATAGTTTAAAACAATTAAAAGTGTGTAAAAATAGAAAATATATGTTCTCTATGACAACATGATTATGTTAAGTGTTCATTCGATATAACAATAGTAATATTACATGGAGAACACATATTTCATATTTTTACACACTTTTTAACTATTTTAAAACTATTTAATAAGCATAAACCTAAATAAATCTATAACTCAGTTATATATGATCCAATGAGCATGAAACTTTTACTTAATCTCAAACATACAATGATTAGTCCACCATAAAAAGTTTACCACAATAGGACCACAAAACTGCAGCTGTAAATTAATCACAGAAGAGCATAGATCTAAAGCTAGAACAAAATATGTTTACTGTGTAGATCTACTCATGTGGAGTCCAACAAAATTAGATTTTTTATTTTGTGAGTTTTTTGTAACTTACTATGATTTTTCAAAAATTCAACCAAAATAAATATAAAAGAAAATGAGAAAACCACCTAGAGAAATAGCCGAGAGGTCATATGTCTGGTTGGAAAAGATGGGGGGGAGTTATGTCCAGTTTTCTAGTTCAAGAAGCAAAAACTGATTTTTGTGATAGTTAAGGGAGGCAAAGTAGACTTTTTTCAATTAGGAAAGGCTCATGGGCCGGCCCTTTATCACCCCTACCTTTTTCCTCTTCCAAATATAATATAGGGTAAAATAGAGAAGAGAATTATGAGCATGCAGATGCAGCGCACAAAACAAGTGAGAAATATAGAGAATTATGAACACCCAGATTTATTGACGTGGCAGGTTGGCACGTACATACAGCCAGTCGGTGCTAAACGACCTGATGCAGTGAGCCAGTCACCGTGTTTGTACAAAAACCCCTACCACACCACGCACGACTGCAACTTTTGCCACCTGCAATTGTACCAAGTTTTGTATAGGTGAAATGATTGTGATAACAATGAGCAGGACTATTTTTCCTTCTTTCCGTACATGTCAGAGGATTTTTTTCCCCTGGTTGAAATAATCTGGGGGAGGGATAATGAACTAGAGTTAGAACCATCAAATCCGCCCACGTACCCTATGTTGCATAGATTTATTTGGATGGCTAAGTCATATGGATAGGCATAACGAGGTGGCACAGCTAGATCGATACCGTGCTTCGGTCACAGCTGCATGATTTCTCCAATATTTAAGTCCATTTTGGCCCCTTAACTCTTGTTTGTGTCTAATTTTAACTTCTAACTACAAAACGTCTAACTTTGACACTCAACTATCAAAACTTTAATTTTGACCCTAGAGCCATTTGAAAACCACTCAAAACCATCTCGAGGGTTAAAATTGAACGAATTTGATAGTCTTTTCTTGAGACAATGGTTTTGATAGCTACGGCGCCAAAGTTAAACAAAGGCAAGAGTAAAGGGGTCAAAAATAGACTTAATTGAGAAATTTAGTTTTTTTAGATATGTGATTTTTTGGTATTTTTAGATTTATTATTAATAAATATTCATATGTAATAAAATATTTATATACACTTTACTTATATGTTTTAAAATATTTTAGGTTTTGATTTGTCTAAATTTGGCACCTCAACCATCAAAATCGTTGTCACATGTTACATGTTCTTAAATAAGACATTGGTTTTGTAGTAATTTATGCTACATGTTCTTAAAGAAGACATTGGTTTTGCATTTCTTAAAGTATTATAACATAAATTAGTGGTCAAATTAAGTATAGTGAAGGATCAGTTTCCTCAAACCTAATAAATACGCCATATAAAAACGAAATGGAGGGAGGACCTTTTCAACCTTGCACCAATCGTTTCAACTTTCAAACATTTGATATCTTCTTGCAAGGAGATGGCTATACAGAAACTTTGGATTTGTGTGTCCAGCTTCCTGTCCAAATACCCTATAAAAAGGTTGTTTCAAAAGTTTCGGAAACTGGAAAAAAATTTTGAAGTAAAATGGCCTCATCCCAACATGAGTAAAGGACTGGGTCCAAGTTTCGTATGGTGGGCTGTTCCAACTGCAACGAGCAACGGGACGAGATTTCTTGGGCCTACAAATCTGATGGTTGGGCTATGGCTGAACAAAATTACGAAGGGGCCATTGGCAGGCCCATTACCACCCCTGGACTCTACTTTCACCTCGCGAACTCGAATTCCTCTCCAAATCGGGTAAAATAGAGAATTATGAATATGCAGTGCACAAAATAATAAAAGCTAACAAAAGAGAAAATTTGAGAATTATGAAAATCCAGTTCAGTTTTATTGACGTGGCAGGTTGGCACGTACATGCAGTGCCGTGTTTGTACAAAAACCCCTAGCACACCACGCACGACTCCGGCAGCTTATTCGACCTCGACTCCGGCCGGCGAGGTACGCTAGCTGGTCACTCTCTCACAGCCGCCTGGCTCCCCGTCCGGGAGCGGGCACGGGCGGCGGCGTGCCTCCCAGCTGGTGTGAGGCCTCCTCGCCGTCGCAGAATCCACGGAGGACGTCGGCCTCCTCGGCGGTGAACCCGACGGAGGCGAGCATGGCGGGCCAGCAGTATCGCGTGGCGCCGCGGATGGCGACGCAGCACTCGGGCCCGATGTAGGACTCGCCGTTGACGAAGAAGAGCAGGATCTCGCTGTAGCACGAGCTCAGCCCCATCACCGCGCCCCAGCACTCCGCGAACCCACCCCCGCCCTGCTGCTGCTCGCCGGCGCCGGCGCCGCCGTCGACGTCGAGGGAGGTCGTTGACAGGTCGTGCAGGACCTGCAGGCGCGCCACCCAGGGCCGCACGGCGGCGGCGGGGGCGACGGCACGTGGCGGCGTCACGGCAACGACGCCGTGGGCGAAGACAAGGAGCGCCGCCGCCAGCGCGACGACGGCGGTGAGAGTGTGACGTGGGCGTGGTGCCGCCGCCGCTGCCTCCATTGCCATTGCCTGATTGCTAGGTGCTCGACCTTGTGCACGCTCGTGGTCTTTGTGGTTCTGGCCGGAGTAGAAGATGGATGGAGGGGGTGGTTCAGCCGGGATCGAGCTGAGGCTTATAAATAGCAGATGACAGGGGATGGGGTGCGGCGGCGAATTGATGATCATGCACGCATTCAAGTAGAGCTGGAGTTGTGAGTGGGCGGCGAATTCATAGCACAGGTGAGTAGTGCTCACCGGCGTGGCCATGGCGGTTCATGGAAGGCCAAAGGACTCATGTGGTTCAATCGACGATTACAAAGAGGAATGCCAAAGGTCCAAACGCACAGTATGTTGCAGCCTTGATTGGTGCCATTGACGAAGCTGCTGGTGACATCAACTTCATTGCCCGTATGTTGTAAAAAAAAAAAAAAAAAAAAAAAAAAAAAACTTCATTGCCCGTAGCAAAGCACGACCATTTAACTATATATCCGTTGGAGAACAAAGAAAGTTTCAGAATAACTCCACTGAGGCTTTATGGACTGAATTTTGAAATGACTTTGTTGCGTGTTTGTTATAAATATAGTGGTAATTTAATTCACTAATTCTGAATGGGACTTCTGCTATGACAACAACACATACTATACCCTTACTGCTGTTTTTTCTGAGCCAATGATACCATTGGACGTACGGTTCCACTGAATACAAGGCTTGGCCCTTGGTTTGTGGAGGACGATTCTTATCTTTGCTCATCTCCAATGACTTTTAATATTTTCAATGAAAGCTATTGCCTTTCTTGCATCACTATATTAGATTGTTGGGCGCTACTAACGCCGGACGTCGAGAGACAGATGCCAGCGTCCGGACGTCCGTGGCTACTGTTTCAGCGCATATAGCGAAAGCAGGTACGCGGCGCAGACCTCAACTTGCTCGAGGCCACTCCGGGTCCACCACGCGAGCATCGTGCCGCCATCGGCCCACCTGGGCCACCAACTCCGAGGGCGTTTGCGTGCTCATCGGGTAGGGTTTCTCGTCGAGCTCGAACTGCCATGGCGAGATGGAGGGAAGGGAAGGAGGGGAGGAGAGGAGAAGAGAGGCGAGTGCGCCGCGCAAGGAAGGCGCAAGGTAGGAGGCGACGCCCTCGGCAGGCAGCGCTGTCCTCCGATCCACCTGGCGCCATTGCAATATGTGCAACACCCGATTTACTTTTAAAACATACAGATGAAACATTTGCAACGTACGTCTGAAGACAGAAACACTTCCAAAAAACACTTAAACACTTGAAAACCATTGCAACACGTACGCAACATCTAGATATATAAAATACTTGCAACATATGTGTGAAACATATGCAACATCTAGATAAATATACTTGCAACATACGTCTAAAAAAACAAATGAAACATTGGAAACAGATGTTTGCAACATACGTGTAGAACCATTACAACATCCCGATCTACTTTTGCAACATCCATACAAAACCCTTGCATCACACCTCTGAAACAACTGAAACACTCGAAACATACACTTGCAACATGTGCTTTCAGTGCAATGTCACCTTGTTACTTGGACGAATGGAGCTCGACGCCGGCACGGAGCTCGATGCCACAGAGTGGGCGGAGGTCACCGGTGTAGAGCTCGGCGGTGGCACGGACGTCGGTAGTGGCCGCGGCAGGCAGATGGAGCACGGGCACGAAGGGAGACGCTAGTCCGGACGGTGGGCAGGCGGCGCCGCGCGAGTGGCGCAGGAGGAGTTTGTCCCGTGAGTGGGGGCGGTGTGGAAGAACCATCCAAAATAGCACGCTTCCGAAGGCGCTCGTCTTCCACCAGACACTAAGCACCCCAAAAGTAAGCTACATCGGACGGTTCCGTCGAGCACACCCCAAGGGAGAACTCGAATAATCCACGTTTTCCCTCTAGGATCCAATAATAAGAACGAGTTTACAACACTTAGTCAATTTCATACAACAAGAGTTCTTAGAAATATATTATTACAATACCAAGTTCAGAGTGCGGAATTTAAACAGTGGAATTACAATAAACATCTAACGATAAGATACAAGGATCCATCTGTGCCCACCCGAAGAATCTTCCACACAACAGCCATTTCTCAAGCTGCACCTGCAACAGGGGTAAATAAACCCTGAGTACACAATGTACTCGCAAGACTTACTCGACTAGTGAGAATAATTTCTCAACTCCAAAGGATATGATAAGCTTTATGGTTTGCTGGGTTTTCTTTTTGCAAAAAGCATTACTAGTAGTGAATCCTTATGTATGTGTTTTATTAGCAGTCATGATTAATTCATTAGCTAACCATTCTAGGTAAGCATCTGTTCTACTTTCAAGCAAGAGTTGAGCAATCAGATCCATTCATTCCCTTTCATCTTCTAGTTCTTACTATGGTGCTAGATCGTAGATAAGTCGTACCGTATTACATGGCGATTCGCGAACCAATGTAGCCCAGCAGGGTACCCCGAAACACACGCCCCACTTGTACCCCAGGCACAAGTTAGAGCAACCCACCACTCTCTTATCAAGGGGTCTAGGTCCCCATCCAAACTTGGACTCTAAGCCCCCACACCTGAGTCCCAGACTCAGTGTGGTGCTTAGACCTCCATCATCCCCGCCTCTAATCAGTCGGTTCGGAAAGAGACAGAACCCATGACAAGAGAGCAACGAGCCTTCCCGCTCCCATAAGCAAGTATGTGCTCAGGATAATAAGTCTGTGACCAGACTAGAATCCAATGCAACGGCCGGTCCTTAACCAACACGGACAAAAAAAACAGTGTAACCAAGCTATATCCCATTGGCCATAGGACACAACCTCTTACACCCACCAATACCCTTACCATATCCCTACTCGATCTCTATTTCCTTTCACCATTTTATCATGAGAGTAATAATAATAATCACCTATTGTGAGTAATGGCAGGTTATTCATGCTACCGAAAAACCTAAGCATAGCAGCTACTAGACCTATACTAGTAGGACTCATAGGTAGATTATCTATGCGTATAGTTTCAACAATAAGCATGTAACGTAACTGCACATCACATATATATATATTTAGTGATTATTCAAAATAAGGGTTATGCACCGGGGCTTGCCTTGGGCAGGCGCAGTGTCAGCTCAGTCAGTTAGTGGTGGCTCTGGGACCTCCTCCTGCACGAGGATCTCCTCCTCGTACTCCTCGATCACCTCCTCAAACTCGTGATGTCCAATGGTCACGATCTCCGCCAACTCATTCTCTACATGTATGCGATGATGATGCAACACTTAGCATTTCGGCAACAGCAACTCTTAAAATAAGAATACACACGGTAAACTATTAAGCTAGCTCTAATGACTAAGATACTAAGCTAACTATCATCTTCATCAAGTAAAGTGTTGGGTTCAACTAACAAACACCTAGCTTTACAAATGAAGGATATATCTCTATTTTTACTAATGATTTAATGTGTATTTGAAACAAAGAGCATTTAATTACCCTTATGTTAAGTCTATTCTAAATCTTCAAAAATTACAGTGAGAACATAATAATACCATGAAGCTACTGTAAAATTTTCAAAGCTAAAGATATCACCATTTTGCCACAAAAATTCCTACAATATTTAACCTAATAATATTAAGCACTCTCAAATGATTTAATAGCTCCTGGTATCAACAAGTATATATATGAACTAAATACACTAACAGATAGAACACAATTTTAGAAACTTAACAAAATTGGTTTCATAATTTTTGGATACCTATATGATTTTATATGATTTACCAAAGATCAGCTCAGAAATACAAATGAAACGCTATTTCTATTCTCCACGAAAAAGCTAAATTGATTTCGGCCCAACGCGGCACACACGCGACGCAGCGCGCGCGAGCGCACGACGGCCCGCGCAGCATCGGCCCACGCACGCGAAGTGGCCCGTGGCGAGGAAGCCCGCGCGCGCTGGCACATTAGCAAAAATACCCTCGCGTTATCAGAAAATAGCGCGAACACTACACATACTATTTCTATAGACAACGACTTTGCAACGGAACCCTCGGATCTTTCTCCTCCTTACAACGGCAAGGTCCTCGACCATTCCCACGCGCGCCAGTGCGGCGAGCGGTGGCACTGGCGCTTATGCCAGCCACACAGGACCCACACTGATCTATCTATGAGGCCGATGCTCACCTAGGGTTCGACGCGAGACGATGGGTGGCGGTTGCATGAGCCAGGACACCGTGGAAGGACCTCTCCATGACTGCGGGCACCCTGCGGCAATGGCGACGGTGTTCAGGTGAGCCGCAACAACAATAAGGCGATAGGGGTAGTGGGTGAGCAACGACAACTCACCAGTGACCTTACTAAAAAGCTGGCTCGACCGGAGAAGACCCGAGCGAGGCTAGCCATGTGCACAATGCGAGGTGAACGGTGGACCACAAAGGCACAGCCGCATCAGCGGCCGCGGGGAGGTGGTAGCGCTTCCACTGGCGTGCGCATGGTGGAGAGGGAGCCAAGGTGAGCTAGTGGTGCAGAGGAATTAGCACGAGGTGAAGTGGTGGAGGCTGGCCACGGCGCGGGCGGTCACGGGCCTTAACGGCATGGCATAGGGCAAAGCTCCAAAATTGGAGCTCGGCGTGACGCGAGTCAAGGCGGGGTGGGGTCAGCTAGAGAGGGGGCCTGAAGGCAGAGACACGAGCATGAGGAATTGATGAGAGGTGCTCGCTCTCTGACTCATTGCGACACGACTTGGCGATGGCAGAAAGCAGAGAGAGAAGAGAGAAAGAGAGAAATGGAGCACGGCAGTGGGCTCAGCTCGTCCTTGCCTTGGCGGGACGCGAGCGGCAAGCTCAGGAGGCCCACGCATCGGCACTATGGACAACGTGTGCGTGTGTCCGACCGGTGTGGCCCTCGTGCCACAGTGCCATAAATGGCATGGCGACGGCGGCTCGCCCACGTGCGCGCGGCAGAGGCAACACGCATAGGGCCGGCAATAGCGCAGAGATGCAGCGGACAGGCATGGACACGACGATGATGTGACGAC